CATTTTTGTTACAATAATTATACCATACAATACAGGTACAACACATTTTTTGTAACAATAAATATAACATACAATACAGGTACAAAACATTTTTGTTACAATAATTATACCATAAATACAGGTAAAAACATATTTTGTAAGAGTAATTAAACCATAAAATACAGGTACAAAACATTTTTGTAACAGTAATTATACCATACAATAGAAGTACAAAACATTTTTGTAACAGCAATTATACCATACAATAAAGGTGCAAAACATTTTTTGTAAGAGTAATTATGCCATACAATACAAGTACAAAACTTTTTTGTAACAGTAATTATGCCATACAATACAGATACAAAACATTTTCGAAAGATCAAGCCCAAAAATAGAACTTGTTGCCAAAAGGTCAACTTCTTAGATTAAACAATATAATATCATTTCAACTTATTCTAAGTGTTATATCATAGAATTTTATATGTTACTATTGTTTATTATAAAATGTTACTTTTAGTATTTTATCTTTTCCTCCAAATCTTATATCGGTGATTGTCTTAATTTCATAAAGTAATATCTAAATTTCTTAACACTTTTTTACAGAAATCTTACCACTGTAACTGTTCTGGTTTCAACATTCATTGTTGTTGCAGCTTTAACTGTTGTGTCTTGCGTGCAACATTTCCAGGTAAGGGTCAAAACTGTTATTGTTTTAACTGTCGTGCTTTGCGTGCATCATTTCCAGGTAAGAGACGAAATTGTTGTTTCTTTAATTGTTGTGTCTTGCGTGCAATATTTCCAGGTGAGAGTCGATATTGTTGTTGTTTTAACTGTTGTACTTTGCGTGCACCATTTCTAGGTAAGAGACAAAATTGTTGTTGTTTCTTTAATTGTCGTGTCTTTGAAGCAACATTTCCAGGTGCGAGTTGAAATTGTTGTTGTTTCTTTAACTGTTATGTCTTTGGTGCAACATTTCCAGGTGATAGTTGAAATTGTTGTGGCTGCTTTAACTGTCATATTTTGCGTGCAACATTTCCAGATAAAACTCGAAACCGTCGAAGCAGCTTAAAATGTGTTTGTTATAGTACCTTTCTTCGTTATTGTTACTTCAACTTTAATTGTTATTTTTGTAGCAATTTTAACCGCTATAATTATAGTATCTTTACCTGTGACTATTGGTGCATATTTAACTCTTGAAGGGAAGTGTTTATTTTGTTTGTAGCAGCTTAAGCTGTTACTGTTGTAGAAACGTTAACTGCTATTAATGTGGCAGCTTTAATTTTTAAAATTTCTCTGATATTATCAGGCAGTCCTAATTGTTACACATACTTGTTAGTTTTTCTACCTTTTATCCAGTATTGTTATGTGAGGTTCAAGCTTTCTTTCAATACTTTTGCAAATAAATATCCTTTCTAAAACTGTAAATATAATTTGCTGCTCTATTTTTGTTTGTTTGTTATATTTCGTGCTTTAAGAGAATCTATATAAAAGAAATAATTTCTTTTAAAAACAAACAAAAAAAAACAGATGAAATTATTCCACGTGTCTTGTTTGTCAATTTTTTGAACAATGTATTGATTCAGTCTAGTGTTGTCAGTATGTTTCCCTTTTTTGTAACGGAGAAAAATTATATGTTTTAGAAGTTGAAATTTATCTTATTTCTATAGCATTCGACTGAGTCAACTACGAGATCCTTACCTTGCTCAACCGATGTCGCTTCGAACCAAATATTAAGAATATTTATCTTTCTCTTTTCTGTTCTTCTTATTTTGGCAGCTTGCATGGTGAACATGGTATGTCATTTTGTTTATTTTTGCTCTCAGTATATTTTAAGTTAGAGTATCACTAACTTTTACAATAAAAAACCTGTAAGTAGATAAAAAAATGTGTGTGTAGTTCGTTATTTTACACTAATTTTTATAGCTATAAGATTATATTTTGTTATTTGTAAAATGAGCATGTAAGACGTTAAGTGAACCTTAGTTTCATAGGTAATTACGATTACAATCTTATGGCCACTTATATTGAGCATTGGCATCATTACGTATCAAACCGAACATGCCCTGTCTTGCATCTTCTATAATTAGTGTGATCGTTTCTGTCCATTACGGTTTTGACCCTATAAAAAATTAATTAATTCAATAGCGCAGTGTAATATATATATATATATATACATACATATATATATATATATATATACCGTAGTTATTATACACGAAAAAATAAAAGAGTAATGGTCAAAAGATAAAAAAATGGAACATTTTTCAAACATTTCTAGACTTTATTTCCAGCACTGTTGATCCTTGTCAGATTACTGACAGCAACATAAATAGTTTATTTTTTATTATGTAATATACTAGAAATATGTACTTGTGTTGAGGTATATGATTTAATACTCTTGTTCTGGTCTTAGATATTCACAAACCTTAGTTATTTGTCTTTTATTGTAATCAAGTTTTGCTACTAAACGACATAGAAATGTGACTTTAATGTTTCAAATTCACTCTTACTTCAGTAAGCATCTTTTAACGTTATTTCTTTAACCAATACACGTGATGCTGCGTCGAGAGTTAGAGCTCAATTTTTCAAAATGACCAGAGAAACATTATAGGTTCTTCTATCCAATTGCAATATTAGAAAATGTAACCACCGCGAAAAACAAGGTTTTGATAGACACTATTAATTTATTTTAAGCTGGAAATCTGAGCTTCTGTTATTACCATTTTGAACGATTTTTACTTTCTTTAAATGTTTGATCACCGTAGTTATAACAGTGATACGTTAGTTTATGTTTTAACGCCAATATTAGCTTGATTCGTTTTGGGTTAGGATAGCTTCCAAGATCGTTTTCTGTTTATGTAGTACCTTAAAAAACTAGATGAAAAAGAGCTGGAGTGGTCCAGCTTAGCTGATGTAGAGTTTGCTTATTTTTCTCCTTTAAGTTGTATAAGTCTAACTGTTCTTTCAATAGCTTGATTATGCATAGACAGAACGCTGAGTGTCACATCACCTTCGTATTGTTATCATAACGCCTGAGAATCCATATGATTATACAACCTAGATCAAATAAAACCTGAAAATATATATTATTATACAACCTGGATCAAATAAAGTCTGAAAATCTATATAATTATAAAAACTAGATCAAATAAAACCTGAAAATCTATATGATTGACCAATAAATCCAAGGAAATATGATGGTTACCGCACATTGACGCAAATAACCCGCAGGCTATATGTTAAATTAGTTTTCACAAATGCCAACTGCTGGGTATACTCGTGTGCGGGTAATATGGTAATTTTGTTTGTTTGTTTGTTTTTAAGACTGAAATTGTCAATTTTCTATTCCAAATATTCGTTTATGTCGTGTTGTTCTTGTTCAACACTTTAAACTATTTATCAATCGGGCAATAGATACATATGTTATTCTCTGGTCAAAGGACAAAGTATAAATACGAATACTTCTGACTATATTTATCAGTGTTTGAATATATTACAATTACTACTCTGGAGATTGTGGAGGACGTGTTCTGATTGGATGGCTTATCCCTGTTTCCGATTGGTGGAAAGACTTCTTGTAGATTCAACCAATAGTATCCGGAATCTCTGTTTAGTGAGGGTTTTATTGTGTTACCACGACTGCGGGTAACATGCTTAGAAGTTTCTAAGAGAAATGTTTTCCTCAGTTACGGGATATACAGGGGGGGGGGGGATTATTTGCGTGAAAATACGGTAAAAGGTTATATTGTCGGGCATTATGGTATGATTTCTAGAGATTGGATAGCAACAAGTTAATCAAACTGATTATATTGTATGTTTCTTGGTTTGTCTCGTATAAGAAATAAGGCAGGTCAAAACGTTATTGTCACAAGAATATCTTAAGTGATAGAAACAAGGTCTTTATTTGACATTTTTATCCTTAGCGGTACCTCATGCAACAGATGGGCTAAATGGTTAGATCAGAAATTTATATGATCCAGGCATAGCCATCCGTAATTCAGAACTGCTACTTAGTACGAGGGCAACCAGTCAGCATCACCCGCCGCCTACGCGGATATTCTTAACCGCATACTGAGATTGCTTTTCATAATTAAAACGCGTTCACAGAAATGCAAATGTGTTTAGCGGCTTATCGTAGTTCGAATCTCGGACCTTTCGTTACATAGCTAGACACGGTAACCACTAGCCCACATCCACCACAGAAGTGATGGGGTTATTTTCACTAGTTTTTTAAGTTTTGAAATGTTAATATATATATATATATATATATATATAATTACTAGTTTCTTTGTTTATTTGTAATTAAGCTACACAATGGGCTATCTGTGCTCTGCTCACCACGAGTATCGAAACCCGGTTTCTAGCGTTGTAAGTCCGCAGACATACCGCTGTAGCACTGGGGTACATGAATTACTAATCAAACACTTGGTTTGTTATAAATTTCGCGCAAAGCTACACGAGGGCTATATGCGCTAGCCGTCCCTAATTTGGCGGTGTAAGACTAGAGGGAAGGCAGCTAGTCATCACCACCCACCGCCAAATCTTGGGCTACTTATTTATCAACGAATAGTGGGATTGACCGTCACATTATAACGCTCTCATGGCTGAAAGGGCGAGCATGTTTGGTGTGACGGGGATTTGATCCCCCGACCCGTAGATTACTAGTCGAGCGCCCTAACCACCTGGCCTTGCCGGGCCAATCAAACACTAAACCTTCAGATACTACACTCTGTTTGTGCTAAAACTTTACCACCCAGTGTTAATTAATTTCTTTGTAATTTATATCATTTATATCATTATATCCAAACCTTTCTGACGTCACAGATTAGATGTGTGGCTAAACACTTCGGGGTTTAGCAGATATCATTAGTACTTACACACAAAAAATCGTAAAAAAAAGATTCTAAAGTAACTGATAATAAAACTTATTGTATTATATGCTAACCCTTTTCGAATACTTAATTACAGTTAGTTGAACTTACAATATTAGTTATGTTAGGTAAGGTATAAGGTGTAGTTTTTGCTATTCAAAATAAACGTGTTTGGCTTTCTTGTAAGAGTTAGATTTTAAGTAGGTCTAAACAAGAGAGACTTATGAGTTTAAATATGTATATATATATATGTATATATATATTAAAATTTACTTAACGAAAACACATTCACACCAAAAGTAGCCTAATTTTAAACTGATATTCCACTATCAGAAAGAACGCCATCTGGAACTACACTTAAGGATATTTGAAATAAAACTTCCATAAGGGTTCACCGGATGTTTCAAAATTCACTCTTACCAAGGTCCAGTTGTCAAATTTCTTCGTAAGTTTAGGTTTGAGTCACACCCTGATAAAATGCCCTACAAATGTTGTTTCTTTTTGTTGGATTATAGTTTTCAAAGTCTAAAGAAGCTCAGATTCTGTGATTAAGTTCTCAGGTTCTGTGTTAAAGTGTTCAGATTTTGTGATTAAGTGCTCAGATTCTGTGATTAAGTTCTCAGGTTCTGTGTTAAAGTGCTCATATTTTGTGATTAAGTGCTCAAATTCTGTGATTAAGTGCCTCTTCTCAAGCAATATTTCTTTTTTTCCCTCGGTATCTAGGTGATTTGCTACACTGAACCACCTGTCAGAACGAAAGTATATTTGAATATTACTAACTCCACTGGAAGCCAAGAGCATGACTGCCAGTTTTTTCAAGTAATACTTACGTTATTAGTATAATTTTTCCAAATATTTTTCTTGAAAAGTGAGATATCTGTGAGGTTCTACAACTATATTTATACTCAGCATTATAGATTTCTTAAATTTTCAACTTACTAAAAATGTAAGGTTCTTCTAAACAAAATATTTTCAAGCTCGTACGTTCAATCTGATAAGCTTAGGCCAGACGCAAAGAACTTGTCCAAATGAGCAATATACACCCAATCTTACTTCTTCTGTTGAGCTTGGATCATATAGCTTGACAAGGTTAATATATAAGTATAGGTAAAAGCCTAGTGTTTTGTGGATTACATTTCTTGTTTATACAATGACCGTATCTTGTTAGTGATGTTATTTTCATATATTTTACAGTATCACCAGTTCACGACAATTCTTACACTGACAACAGTATCCGTGTTTTTACGTATTAACTATTTACTGAAGCTGGTTGTCATGATTACTGGAGTGGTGGCGTTTGCGGTGATCTTTGTAATTGTCAAGCCCAACTTGTTGTACGTCGAAGACCTGGGCATGAGCGACGGGTAAACATTATAATACTTATTAAAAAAACTGAAACTAAAAGTGTTATTTTTTGTAAAATTAATTGTGATGAGTCTCCGAGAAAACAAAAAAAAATTAATAACGTTCAGAAAAATATTTAAGACATTGTCAGTACACATAAACTGAGAAAAAAGAATCTACAAAAATAACAGTTTTTTCGCAGTTTTGGAAAAGTTCTTGATACAAGACATTGATGTGAGGTCATACTGTATACTGCAAATAAGAAAACTGTATAAAAACTATATATATACAAATCCAAGAGACGCACTTTACATGAATATTAAGTAGAAAAACTAATGCCAAATTTACTTCAAGCAACGTTTCGGGAAAATGCCCTTTTTCTAAGTTTCACAGCTCTATTCGCTGCAGTGGCTATGGTGACTGAAATTATGTATACATGCGTGAAACATTTGTTGTACTCTTACTCAACACCGTTTATTGAGAAGCACTAACATTGGGTATAGTGGTACCTGTGATATTCATGTAGGACTTTTACTCTTAATTAAAACACATTGGGTTTAGTGGTACCTGTGATATTCATGTACGACTTTTACTCTTAATTAATACACATTGGGTATAGTGGTACCTGTGATATTCATATAAGACTTTTACTCTTAATTAAAACACATGGGTATAGTGGTACCTGTGATATTCATATAGGACTTTTACTCTTAATTAAAACACATTGGGTATAGTGGTACCTGTGATATTCATATAGGACTTTTACTATTAATTAATACACATTGGGTATAGTGTTACATGTTATATACATATAGGACTTTTACTCTTAGTTAAAACACATTGGGCATAGTGGTACCTGTGATATTCATATAGGATTTTTACTCTTAATTAAACATGGGCAATTTGAGCAGCAATTGGCTCAATTTTTATGAGGATTAGAATCTAAATATATTATTAAGACTACTACATAAAAATATGGTCAACCTCGTAAGAAAAAATATAATAACATTTATCGGATGTGCTTATAAGTATCGATAACGTATCTCAGCTGACCTGAAGAGCCCTGCTATTGGGTGAAAAACCACTTCTGCACGGGATATGGCAGATGTAATGTGGTTGACATATAAGTTTTCATCTTTGTTTTCATTCATGGGCTCTTAGAGTTACAGAGGCATTTTTTTATGTTTATTTCATCAGAAGACTTTTCAAATTGAAGAAGCTACATAAGTATAACTTACAAAAAATTCGGGAAAAAATATTCGTTAGATCAGTTCCGTTTCATAAAAAGAGTATTTTAGTTATACTAGCTTCTCAAGATTAACTCAGTGACTTAAGTGTTATCTTGTTTTGTCAAATCAGTAAATGTTTTTGAGCAGAGGTTGGTTAATCTGATCTACACGAATAGGAACGAAGACATAATTCTGTGTTAAGTACAACACTGAAATTTCACAAAGATTTGAAAATAATGATATATTAAGATAAATCATAAAAATATATATTTTAATTTAGCACTACAAACTCATAGTCTTCCATCTTCAGTATTGATATAGCTAGAACAGGAAGAGTTAAAATATCATTAGGTTTATGTTTAATAAGTGATAACAATATATTTATATTTATTCATGTTTAATGTTTAATTCATATATATTCATGTTTAATGTTTAATTCATGTATATTCATGTTTAATGTTTAATTCATGTATATTCATGTTTAATTCATGTATATTCATGTTTAATGTTTAATAAGTGATAACAGTATATTTAATTACCTCTCAATCTTATCTACTTTATGGTTTATCAGTAGGTTCATGTTTAATAAGTGATAACAGTATATTTATTTACCTCACAATCTTATCTACTTTATAGTTTATCAGTAGGTTCATGTTTATTAATGTTTAATAAGTAATAACAATATATTTATATTTATTCATGTTTAATGTTTAATTCATGTATATTCATGTTTAATATTTAATAAGTGATAACAGTATATTTAATTACCTCAAAATCTTATCTACTTTACGGTTTATCAGTAGGTTCATGTTTAATGTTTAATAAGTGATAACAGTATATTTATTTACCTCAAAATCTTATCTACTTTACGGTTTATCAGTAGGTTCATGTTTAATGTTTAATAAGTGATAACAGTATATTTATTTACCTCACAATCTTATCTACTTAATGGTTTATCAGTAGGTTCATGTTTAATGTTTAATAAGTGATAACAGTATATTTATTTACCTCGCAATCTTATCCACTTTATAGTTTATTAGTAGGTTCATGTTTATTGTTTAGTACGTGTCAGTAGTATGCGTATTTACTTTACAATATTCATGTTGAAATCAATAAATTTCCCATCATTGTTACTTACTAATTATTTTCCAGATTTCAGTATAAATTGTTCGTTGCACTATATTAAAATCATGACACATTTTTTCAGGATGATCGAAACCCTTTCGTTCTTCTACGATGTGTCGTTTCTAGTGATATTTTTTATTGTTCTTCATGTCTTAGATAGACAGGTAAAAATTTCTGATTTGTATTCTAGGTTAAATGTTCTTCTATTTTTAATGTAAAAATTAACGTTGTTTTTCTTCTCTCTTTTGTTTTAGCATGATAGGAATAAGGTAAACGAGAATTTTACGATTTCTCTGGAGACAATAAAAGTTCATAACTAAATAAAATAAATAGATGATCTATATAAAGGAAAATTTACCTCATGCAAAAGTAAAAATCTGACTTTAGAGTAAATAAAAAAATTTCAAACTAGAGTGAGTAAAAACCTGTTTCTAAAGTAAATACTAAAATGATTCTAGAGTACGTAAAAACCTTATTATAGACTAAGCAAACAGATAATCACTAGAGTAATTAAACATTTTATTCTAATGTAAATAAAACCTGATTCTAGAGTTAATAAAAACCTGATTCTAAGGTTAGTAAAAACCTGTTTCTAAAGTAAATACTAAAATGATTCTAGAGTACGTAAAAACCTTATTATAGACTAAGCAAACAGATAATCACTAGAGTAATTAAACATTTTATTCTAATGTAAATAAAACCTCATTCTAGAGTCAATAAAAACCTCATTCTAAGGTTAGTAAAAACCTTATTCTAGAATAAACAAAAACTTTATTTTAGAGTAAGTGAAAAGCTGATCTCCAGAATTATTAAAAGGAAATTGGTTTCCAGATTCATCAAAAAAATCTGATGTCTTGAGATGGTAAATATTTGAAATTTAAATGTAATAAAAAGGCTATTATCTAGAAGTGGTAAAATCATGATACCCAGAATTGTAAAAAACTAAACCCCTGGTTCCTAGAAATGATAAAAACCTGATACTTGGATATAGTACCTAAAAATATATGACAAAAATCTTATATCCAAAAAATGGTAGAAATCTGATATCTAGAGATGGCACAGCAAAAGCTGATATAAAAAGATGGTTTAAACCTGATATCTAAGTATGATAAAATGTTATATCTGAAAATGTATTTATGTAAATATGTAAATATGATAACACCAGATGTCTAAAGATAGTTTAAATATGATATATAAATATGATTAAATGTGATGTCTAGAGATGGTATAATACATGATATATAACAATACCTGATTTATAGAGATAGTTTAAACCTAATTATGATGACTAAAAACCTAATAATTAGAGATGGTAGAAACCTAATATTAGATATGATAATAGTTTGATACCTAGAGATGGCAATAACCTAACATAACCTGAGATGGTAAAATTGGACATCTAGATACGATAAAATCTGATATCTAAAGCTGAATAAAAACATAATATCTAAATAAGGTAAAAACCTGGTATCTGAAGATGATAAAACTCACAGCAAAACGTTGAAGCTATATGTGTGGTAGAACTGCACATTTTCATGTATGGCTAACGAAACGTAAATTTTTACCAATAAATAAGCTAATCCTTTCTATAACTTTCTTGTGGTTTATACCAAACATTTCATTGTCGAAGTCCAAAAGAGTTTAAAGATATTCAAATGATGAGACATTACAACGAAAATTCGAATCAATTAAAATATCGAACCAAACGGAGATAAACAACCCGTGAAGAAAATATCAAATTCATCCAAAAACTCTGGAGCAAAATAAAAAAGCCAAAGTTCTACTTTAGCTCAAACAGAAGATGTTACGTCATAAAGATAACGAAATGAAATAACTTGGCATTATTTACATTTCATCAATATGGTGTAAAACTGAGCATACATTCAGTTTGCCTTCTAAACCATCTCATCACATTTTATTCACTGTAATTCAAATGATTCTTAAGTGAAATAGAAGCCAATTCAGTTTTACAGCATATGAATATAATGGTGCAATGTGAGCAGTAATAAGCTGCTTTATTTTGCTGTGTTTATGAGAAATCACCTGTTGTTTGATACAAAGTAGAATGTCTGATCTGTTTTTCGCTCAAGCGTTTTCGAATCAATCCAAACACTTATACTGTAATCATTACTTTCTAGCAAAACCTTTAAAGCAAAGCAACTCACATCAGGAAGTAATATACGGATTAGAATATTGCTAAGATTACACACATTATCAGCTAGATTACTTAATTGGAAAATGTGTTGCCTTTAAGAATGATGGCGAGTGAGAAAGAGCCAGAAGCAGCAGATGACACCAGGTGATACTCTCGCTCTCAGCTGGGCTATGTGAAATAAACTATGAAAAAAAAAAGGGACTGGACTGAGGAAAAGAGAGAGTATTTGTTATCTTTATTAATCGATGTGGCCCAGCATGGCCAGGTGGTTAGGGCACTCGACTCGCAATCTGAGGGTCGCGGGTTCGAATCCCCGTCCCGCCAAACATGCTCGCCCTTTCAGCCGTGGGGACGTTATAATGTGACGGTCAATCCCACTAT